ATAATATAATAATGAATGCGTGTTGAAATCACTTTCACCTTTGAGGTAAATAATGGATTCATTGTCAATAATATAAACGACAACGCCATTTCTATATTCATGCCAAAACAGTGTCGATTGTACGATTCCGATTATATCATAAGCATGAGTTTTGGAATCACTATCAAATAGTGAAAAGGTGAGGACAAAGGTTCTTTCTTATGCTGTGTCATCATTTTATCACACAGAGTGCATTACATCCAAACGTGCACTCAAACAGTATACTTTACAGGAAGATGTAGTGCATGTACAGTGGGGTATTTGTGTGGGCATTCAGTATTATAAACAAAACATGATGTAAAGATATCGATGTACATGCACTGTTGCACTAACAAATGATCACCTTTACATGTGATACATCGAAACTTCGTGGCTGATATTTTTACGTGGTAATCAACGAGAACACACACTTTCAAGGAACATAGCCCCTGATACTAGTTACATACGGCATTCACACATGTAACACATGTTAAAAGGGAACGATAAATCACACAATTTCTTATTTCTCTGTTTCGGCCGATGATCAAAACTAGTTATTCTCTCGCGTTGACATTTTGAATTTACTTTTACTGGGACGATGTTTCATAAACACTATTGCTGCTGCAAATGTTTTGGATTGCAGCTCTCGTTTACTCCTTCGGGGCGCCATGGCTTGTACCTATATCCAGCATGGGGACAATTTGTAATTTCGGAAATTACTATTCATCTAATAAAAGAATGTATGTCATGCCTACCATAACAAAACAAATAGGAGTAAAAACTTAAGGAATTTCTTCTTTTCGAATCAACTGATTGTACCATTTCACAAAGTGTACAACATGCGAAATCTTGTGCATTGATACTGATTTCTAAACGACATTATCTACAAAAATAGACAAAAAATAATGTGTTGAAATGATCATTGTTCTATATACTGATCACAAGGTTGTCTCGATTGTTTAACAGGAGTTTTGCTCGGCGGGGTGTTTAAGCAACAAACAAACAAACAAACAAACACAAAATAGTGGTGATAATTATATGCATGGATCACTGAAAAGGATGATCAGTGATGACACCAGGTGTCCGTGAATATGTTAGGCATGTTCTGCCCCAGCGGTAGCAACAGCCGCTCACACAATTTACATACAACAGTAAGTGTCTGTCTGTTCAGTTTGGTCGTCCTTGGGAGATATTCACATTTGCATTATGTACCTCCGTGTAAACGTAGTTATAAGCTGATTGCGATTTGTCTCCAACAGTTGATCAGGTGTTTGGGCACGTTAAACAATCGTTTAGAGTAGAGTACTGACATGTCGAGATGTTATGCAAATGCTCCAGGCAAAATAAGACGGGTCATTCCCTTGTACAGTTACATACCGACCTGTGATTAATTGTCAGAATTTAATGCTATCAGGATAAGTCGTATGTCAACATGTGCATAATTTTATTAATTCTATTATGTAAATTTCGTTGCGTTAATTGTAACTATCGAAATCAGGAAACCAGGACTTCATTCACGTGCACTATGAATATATAATTCGTTATTCCCTGTTCCCAGTAGGTTATTCTATATCTTATAAGTTTGTTCTATATATTATAAGTTATAAGGGACGCTTAAAACCCCATGTACCCCGAGTAATACTTCTACAACGAATTTATCTTACCGACATGTTTAAATATGACATTGTAAAAGCATTAAAACAAATTCAAATTTGATAGAAAACACCTGTTCGATTGAGCTGAGGTTAACTTGCGCTATGACACGTGACTTCCATTGACTCGGGGGGAAAAGAGCGTGCGTCTTTTTACTTTGAAGTGGGGTAGAAGGGATTTATTTTACCTCTCAGAAATCCACGTGCAGCCTGACTTTCCCGCTGAGAAATTTATTTCCTCCAAGGCGGGATACATCGTTTTTTTTATGAAGATCACGTTGACCAATCAGATCTCATAATTCTGATATGAAAATATGATTATGCCCATTATCAAATTAAGACGTAAGAATGTCAACCCTTCAGTGAAAATTGATTGAAGTCAACCTGTTGTCCAGATAACTTAATATTATTTATGACGTCAACTGCTGACACTGCAAACAAAGGAAGACTTCATATCATATCGTGTGACGTGTGACGCAATCTGTCGTCTCATTACTACAACTCAACATTGAGAGACCCCAAACTGGTGCAAGTATTTAAACGTTATTACACACGATCCTTCTAGCCTTGTGGGTAAAAATTGACATTATGAATATGATTCATTCTATTGCATCATATGACGATCCATTTAGTATTCAAATAAAATATTTGCTTTTATCATTATATAATATAGTGATCTATTTCGCTCATGGCATACACATTTTCTATGTGGATCAGTTGTCTCAACAACCACTACGTGTAAGCTGTAGGAATATACTGACACAAACGTAAGCGTATGTTTGGGTCAGACTCAATGTACCATCAATAAGCTTGAGTTTTCCAGCACTCATCATTAATCCTTTGTGATTTCTCCTTGTTGGAATTCCGAGCCAGAACAGTACAACAGTATCCCAGTGTAGTAAGGGCCGAATTGTCACAAGTATGTGACCAGAGACTGTTAGACGAAACGATTTTAGCACTTGGATGCCGAAGTCTGATGTCACACATGGCTGTTACGACAGTAATGGCGCTAAGATCGTTTCGGTCCCTGAATGTATCATCTTACGTACAGCGTTGGTTGTTGTTCATTCTGACAATCACGGTTTGTCTTGCACAGACCCGATTACTCACGAATATATAAATGGTAATTTGCTGGAAACATCACCAAATGCAATCTGTCTATGTTTTTGTAGAATAATCGTGTTACTCCGCAACATCTTACGGGCTGACGCATCTGTATTAAAAACAGATCCGATGCCTCAATTCTTTGGATCACAATCACGGCAGGTCAAAAACATTGATGACACTACACGTCATCAAACAGGACATATAAATAATAACTTAGCTTGGGACAAACGTCTTTGTTATCAGCTGTTTCTTTGTATGGATGAAAAACGTCAATGTTCAATGTATCCTTGGTGCTGGCACATGTTATTTTTGCCATATGTCCAGCCCACAATCTAACATTATGGATCCGTTTTTGGTTTGCACTCATGACCATGTTTGGCATAGTATACGGCAAGGGTGCACACGTACCTTGTAAGAGTTCAAATGTCAGGAGTTCGTATTGGGACAATGCAATGGTTGTCAATAAAGCCATGTGCATTTATTTTAAGAAATCAACCAGGGTCCGTGTGCATGTGTTGGAGAACAGCGATGTATTATGTTGCTGTTGGCTGATCTATTTGTCAAATGTTACGTTTGAATTCAATGAATAGAACATTATGATTAAGGCAGATGACGTAAGTGTCAGAGCATCTCTGTTAGCCAACCTTTATTTAACAACAATGCTCACCATTGTCTGTAAGTAAACAGTGCACAAATAGCCTTGTAGATAACGTAATAGAAACACCTTACATTTTGTTATTGAATGCATGTGCTGTCAGGTCACATACAAGAAGGGTTTCAGTGTGTAGAGTGTGTCTTCTGTCCAGGTTACATCATACAGAAATTGTTCATATTTTCTGAAAGTGTACATATTTACATGAACCGGATTTTATGGCAAGGACTCGGAGTGATTTGAGGATGCTATATCTGTTGTGGTTATGACTGTTGATTTCTCTTTTTGTCCTGACTGCTTTAAACAAAAAGCGACAAAAAACTTTCCATATTCATAAGAAATCTCTGGAAATGTCCTTCACATGTCTACGATATAACTTTTTGAAAGATTTACCGAGGCCTTATTTGTTGTAACGTTTGCCTCATATTTTTGTCCTTGCTTTGCTTTTGAAGCTAATCACTGAGTGTTGTTATTCCTTGAATGTATAGACCCGTGAAGATTCCTGGGTAGAATAGGTCTTCAGCATCCCATACTAGCCGTAAAAGGCGACTATGCTTGTCGTAAAAGGCGACTAACGGGATCGGGTGGTTAGGCTCGCTGACTTGGTTGATATATATCATCGATCCCAAATGCGTGGATCGATGCTCATGATATTAATCACTGGATTGTCTGGTCCAGACTCGATTATTTACAGACCGCCGTCATATAGCTGAAATATTGCTGAGTGCGGTGTTAAACAACAAACCAACCAACCAACCTTGAATGTATGAACGTTATTAACGCAGACTGAACGCTATTTGAACTAAACCTTACTCCGCGCAGACAAGGTCAGAATTTCATATGAAATGCCACTTAAGGTTAAAATAACAAATAATGACGTTTTCGCGCACTAGCTAAACAACATCATTGTAATGACAACGTCCTGGGCCCACTTGAATAAAGCGATCTTAGAGCTAAGATGATCGTAACTCCTATATTTTAACATAGGCTTACAATAGTCTTAGCGCTAAGATCGCTTTGTGCAAGTGGGCCCTGGTGTCATCACTGATTTTTAGTGATCCATTCGTATAATTTTCACTATTTTGCTTTTTATTTTCTAAAGGAATCTGTTTCGGAAGATAATGAAAACACGTTATTCTCTGGTGTTGTCGTTATATATTTCCATGCAGAAGACGTGGCAAATGTCATATGTCATACACTTCAATCATGTTAATGCTCCGCACCATATTCCTTATACATTGTATGCTGCCAATTACATAATAGGAAAGTGAACCCGTGCACATATGCAAGTATATGATATGTTAAATATTATGTAGCATTAACGTTAGTGAGTGAATTTGGTTTAACATCGCCTTAAACAGTATTTCGGATAATTTACGCCGTAGCATGGATCTGTATGTGGTCCGAAACCCCAAAATGAAGCAAGATTCTCATCACGTAGATGAAACCAACCATTACAATGTATGTTTCTGCCCATGTATCATAATCGGTGTTGTTGTAGAATTGATGTCAGAATGGCTGTGTTTCTAATTTTCGGATCTTGTCCAAACAATTACACAAATCCATTTATTTCGTATAAAGAATATTTTATTCACAAGAAGATAAAAATGGCAATATCAATGCATTCTTCTTCTGATAAAAGTAATGAAAACAGTATAAATTATATACACGTATAAAATATATTCAACATTTGATAAAATATCATCGTATAAACAAGTTACTATTTACATTTACCAAACCCAGAGTTTGCCCAAAGTCTTTTTTCAGATGGCTCTCACGTGAGCCTTCTTGTGACGTCACGTTGGACACGTGGTAACGGCCTGCGGCCAATCACAGATTTTCATGGTATCGTTCCATACAGTTCCCTTACCACACATATGATGAAATGGCACAAACCACACACACTGATAGAAACTGTGACAGTCCGTTCTGTCCGGGAATATTCCAAACACTGATGGACATCGGAATTCTGAAAAGTAAATCAAATTTCAAAATGAGTGTACTAGATTAAACTAATAAAGTGATTAAGCATTTTATCATGTAAATATTTAATAATCTGTAACACTAAAGACATAGGCTCTACTAATATGAGTGAGTATGGTCTCACGCCGGCCGCTTAAAGCAATATTCCAGCAATATCACAGCGGGGGACACCAGAGACCGGTAACCACGTGGGGAATCGAACCCGGAATTCGGAATAAAGGTTGAAAGCTTTATCCACTAGGCTACCCAACCTCCACTTATACTTATATGAAATAGAAGGGTCAAAGGAAACTGTTATTATTACTTTGATATGCACGCTTGTGGGATACTCGTTGATCGGTGGCTAATCTTTACCAGGGTAAATCAGGGTTTGGACACAATGTACGGTACATTATTTGGTTGTCTGATGAGAAGAGTTGGAGCCATGTCGCTATTGCATACATGATTTCCAATTAGGCAGGACATTTATTTTGTTACTCACCTGGAATGGCAAATTTATTGAAGTTTTCTTTTTCTGTAGCTTCCATAATATGTTTCTTTTCTTGTGCTTTTATCTCCAGATTCTGTTGAATTGTGTCGAACTTTCCTCCAGGAACTCTGTAATCGATGACTCTTTTCTGCGGCTGTGTTACCTTCCGTGATGGAATATTATACCCAGTTTGTGGTCTTGGTTGTCTAAAAGAATTTCGTGAAGGGACGTGATATCTGACATTTGTGCTGTAAAGTCTTTGAGGTCTTGTCTGTTTTGTAGCGATCTTATAATTATGGCCATAGTTATTCCTTTTTTGTTCCTGCCTCCTGTAGAGATTGTCTTTAAGGTTCTCAACTACGAAGCCGTGGTGTGGGCGTTTTTTCAATTTTGGTCTTGGTTGAATATAATCAGTATTCATTATCAATGGTCTCTGATTGCGCTGGTTGTCATATGGTCCTTGCACGTCAGGTTGCCTGATGTCCTCATTCTTATGGTCACAGTCACTGGTTTTGGGAACAGTGAGGACATAGGCTCCATCAGTTGGAGGTGGAGGAGTGGCAAGTCTTGGTGGTGTTACCCTAATGAATGGTCTTTTAAAGAATCGCATACCGCGTCTGTTATTGACGAGACCTTTCCTGAGACCCTTCCTTAGGGTCGAAAATTTGACATTTGGGTGAGTATGGTCAAGCCCAAGCCCGGCCTCCATTAGGCTGTGAGTTGTTCGTTTTAGAGTACTAGTTCTGGTAGTAGCAGCTGACGTTGAAGTCGTTGTAGGAGCTGTTGAAGTGGAAACGGTTGTTGTAGTAGTAGGCGTCGTTGTAGTAGGTGATGCCGTCGATTGCGTTGTCGTCAATGGAGTGGTCTCGGGCTTTGATGTGGCTTTCTTGGTTGTTCCAATGACCTTTAATGATTTAGTTGTTTTTGCTGTCATCCAAGCAAATATTTTTTGTGGTCCAGCAGGACTTGGAGATGTATATTTCCTTGCTCGTCTATAGTCGGAATCGAGGTCACCGCCATTTTGTTTCAGATTTACACTAAGAGATCCGATTGATGTTGGGGGAGCTGTTGGCATATCAGTCGACCATGAAGATGCTGCAAACCCTCCATCTTCTTCAGCTCTCAGGTCTGGGGTGGTGGATGTTATATTCTGTGTAGGTCCTCTTTTGGTAAACTTAATTTCAGGGTGTCTCTTTTTAAATCGTGGAGTAGTTCTCCTGGGTGGTAGTGTCACTACTTTAGAAGCCTTGGTTGTTCGTCTCATTGGGAATGTCTTTTCTTTTATTATTTTGACGATAGCCGGTGGTGTTGCTGTTTGTTTCCATTGTCTTGAATTCTTAGTGGAAGGCCGTGGTCTTGGCGTTATCCTACGTGATGCTAGTGTTGGTCTTGAGGTTGAGGTTGATGTTGTGGGTGGAGATGTAGTCGATGTTGTTGATCTAGTCGTTAGTTTAATGGTGGCTCTAGTTGTTTGTTTAATAGTTGGTCTTGTGGATGGTCTAGTAGTTGGTCTTGTGGACGGTGTTTTGGTTGTTTTACTAGTTGACCTTGTGGTTTGTTTAGTAGTTGGCCTTGTGGTTGGTTTTGTGGTTGGGTTAGTAGTTGGCCTTGTTGGTTTTGTGGTTGGTTTAGTAGTTGGCCTTGTGCTTGGTTTAGTTGTTGGCCTTGTGGTTGGTTTTGTGGTTGGGGTAGTAGTTGGTCTTGTGGTTGGTTTTGTGATGGGTTTAGTAGTTGGCCTTTTGGTTGGTTTTGTGGTTGGTTTAGTAGTTGGCCTTGTGGTTCTCGTTGTAGGTCTAGCAGTTTGTTTCCTAGAAGGTGTTGTGGTTGGCCTTGCCGGTCTTTTCTTTGTAAGATGAGCGAAAAGGAAGAAAGCCTTCGTAGATGAAGGTGTTTGAGGTGTTGTTGTAAATTGACTTGTTCTCGTCCAAGGCCTGAATTTGGGAAGGGATGTACTCACTCTTGAAGTCATTGTAGGTGCACTCAGTTTTGGTTTGAACATTGCAGCTCTCATTCCTGTGTCGGTTGTAGGTATTGGTTCTGTGACTGTTGTTGTTCCTGCGGTAGTTGCTTTGAGTGTAGTCCGCCTCCATGGTTTGAAGGAGTATCGAGGCCTTCGGGATGTTCTTGGTACATTACTTGTGGAAAGAAGAGTGGTTGAAGTCACTGTGCTTGGAGGCGTTGTAGATGTACTTGTTAACGGTGTGGAAGTTGTTGATGAAGAAGTTGTAGATGTTGTAGTTGATACAGTTGTCTCAGTCGTATTCTCAACAGTTGTAGCGTTTGCGTTGGGAATGGATATCGTAGAAATGTTTGGTTTAAATGTCGATTTACTCCAGGGCTTAAATGAATACGGTGGTCTCCAAGTGGGCTTGGATGATGTAGTCGTTGATGGGGTAGTTGTAGAAGTAGAGGTTGTTGTTGATGGTGTTGTTGATGATGTTGTTGATCTGGTCCATGGTTTGAAACTGAAACGGGCCCTGTGAGTCGTGCTCTGAATACTTTCCAAAAGGTTATGCTCATACACAGCGGCTGACGGTTTGCTGACAACATTCACTCTGGTTGGTTTGGTGACTCTCTTCACATTCACGATTGTTGTTTCAGGAGAGGAAACCGTTTCAAAACTCGAAATGGAAGTTTTCATTGTCGACTTTTGGAAAATGTTGATGACTTTCTTAGATGGCCACTTTGGCTGCAAAACTTTGGTGGCAATTGAAGGGTCAACACCTGAACCAGGAAAAGAAGCCTGCTTTGCCAGATAGGAGGGAGGAGGAGTGTAAGGACTCTTCCTATAAGAAGGTTTAGGTCCAAACCGAACAACTTTATCCTTACTGTTCTTGTTGGGTGTAATCTTTCTGGATAACAGGGAGTTTTTATGATCATTAATTTTCAGATCATGTGATGATTTCTTTAAAGCTGGCAGTTTTGTGGGTGTTACTCCTTTTGTAGTGATTACAACGGGAACCCATTGTGGATATTTTGGTGAAGAGGACATTACTGGGGGCAGTGATGGTGTCACACGTTTAGCTTGAGTTGGCCGTGTAGGGTTGGTTCGCAAGTAAAATGGCTTCCGTGTGCTTGTATGTCTGTATGACGGCCTAGTGGGCCTAGCCGTTCTTACAGTACGTCTGGAAGAAGGTCTGCTTGTACGTTTTGTTGAAGTGAACTTCGGAGAAACTGTCGATGTTGATGTTACTCTTTGCCAAACACTTGGCCGACGGGTTGATAGCTTTGTAAGTTTCACAGGTTTCTTGTATGGCGATCTTCTGGAGGATATGACTGCTCTATGGGTGGAGCGTCGTGGTTTTGTGGTAGTTGGCTGTGAGGTAGGTGTTGTTATAACTGTCGTTGGAGTCGCCTTAGTAGTAGTCCTCCTTAGTATGGTGACAGAGTGCGTTGTTGGTCGTCTTGTTGCTGTCGTTGACGTCCATGTTCGGCTGGTCCTCCTGGGCGGGGGTTTGAAGGGAGATTTTCTCACTGTATTCAAATTGTTAAATTTAGAACTTTTGTTCTTCTTTGTTACGGCCTCCTCCTGTTTGTAAGTGTCCTTCCCTGGTCTTTGCGTCGATTTAGCCTTTTGTTTTGTCTGAAAATGCAAAAGACAAACCATTTTACATTATACTGATACAAGCAGAGAAGTGGCGTATCATTGAACATTTTTCCATTTTCTAAGAATGCATCGGTGCCACACTGTCATCTCAAATATATTACGCACAAAACGGTAGTAATTAGCTTATTGACAAAGATATATCAGAAACAGATATCATGAAGCACCGGCGACTGGAATGGAGGAAGTGCGACTAGTGTCTGAATGTGTAGGAACTGCCCATATTGCCCTGGCAGTAGTGTTGTGGATTGCATTTATTTATTTACATATATGCACATATATAATCTTACCGTTGCGAGTTTCGGAGGTGGGGTGAATGCGGGATAGTCAGCATCTTCCAAAACGTCTCTGATGGCCTTGGAAAGTGGGTAGACTTCACCACGTCCGGCTAGATTACTGAAGTCATCCAGGTCCACAGCCCACACCATAGCTCCTGCCAGCTGACGATGCTTGATGTACTGTGCCTGGACAAAAGTAATGGCGTGAGCGAGCAGGAGTTCAAGAAACTAATGGCTGTACACCAGCATGTGAATCATGTATACTCAGTCTGCTTTTTGTAGTTATAATTTGTTTGCTGGATTGTTGTATCGGAGTCGGTTTCAAATGAATTACCAGTCGTTGAATGACAACTTAACAAACGTAACTATTTATCTTCTAATTTAATGTCCCTTCTGTTATTTAAGTGGAACACGGTCATGATACAGTACTTGCACGTTGAATGTTGCTACTGCCGTACAAAATATTGCCGCATTGAAAGACACTCACGAGTAAATACTTTTTAAGGACAAAATGTTGGACAGTATATCTAGTTGCCTTCCAACTTGGTAGAATTCCTCATATAACTATTTGTACAAGAAATTAATATGTGGCAAGTATTTTTATGTTATACCTGCGTGAGAACAAGATAAGAACTTAAAAAACAGAATAGGTAAACCGCATGGATATATAGGAAAAACTACTAAATAATCTTAACATTCTAAGATATTGTCAAATCTCTTTGATGACTCTATGTGGCAATTACGTAGTAGCGTTAATGTTGTCAAATTGTACATATCTAAAAATTGTCCACAATCTGTTGTTTTAACACTCTCAATGAGAAAAGTGGCCCAGCAGATTGAAATGTATAGGACTTTGAAACATGTCTTGTACAATACACATGGATTAAAAAGAGAACATTGTATACGTGAAGCTATGTATAAAAGACTTGTGACATTTGAATTGAATTTTAAAAGAAATATAAAAATCCGTAATCTCGTAAGATATTTCCGTTAAATTTTAAACATTTCTAGCCAGGTGAAGACGTATGTATGTTGACATACTTGAACGTTTAAAGTAAAAGGGAATGGCCAAAGGCATTTCGATTTAGGAAAAGAAGGAATTCATTGAACAATAGACAAAGTTATCATCAGGCTTAAGGCATTCACATGTTTAAAAATGAGGAACAGATGAAGCCTGTGTTCTTTTTAAATGACAATCATATTGCCAATCAGTTGTATTTGACGTAACAATTTTCCAAACTATTTCATCAATCAGATTTCGTCTCACGTGCCAGTGTCAATCCCGATATTGAACAAAAACTTCTTTCTAAAATTGAAAGGCAATAAATGTGAGTTATGGTAGCTTTAGTTGACAGACACTAGTCCAGGTATGCCGGACCATCGGCATGTGTTTGAGGTCAGAATTTGCCAAATGTTTCATCCATACCAAAACGTGACTTTTGTTGACTTTTGATTTGTCTAAACAAATGCATGTGTTCCCCTTCTCTGGGCGCACCAACGATTATGAAAAACCATGTCAGATATTTCTTGTATTTTCCGGAAACAATGGAACGTACGTCACATGACGTCATTGTTGTGTACAAAGCAAGGTGTCAAATGACAATGGAATTTGTTCTCATGTTCCAGCATTGCACCTCGCATGAATTAAATGTAGGTGTCAAATGTACATGTATGATTCAGAATACTATGATTCAGATTCTTGAAAACCGGTCCTGTTTATGTCTATTTGACGGGGAAACGATAACTTTTCTAAATCATAATTTGTTTGAGTAGTTTTTCAGCTGATGTTTCACGTGAAGATACAACGGTGTGTTCTTGTTGCACTGAAGAATTTTGGGTTCAATGTCGCTGTGAACAGTATATCAGTTTTATCACGGCATGTCAGCAAGAAAGCCCAAAGTGATGCAGGTCACTAGGGACAAATATGCCAAAGGTAAACTGGGGTCATATGCTTCTGGCTTCAGGGATGCAGCAATATACATAGTCTTCACTTATTGTACTAATGTAATTAACTGAGTGAGCTGGGCTTAACACAGTATTTTAGTTGTATTACTGCGAGTTGGCTTGATGTGGCACGACAGTGATGCAGGTTTTAGACGCTTACCACTTCAGTGGAACCCACGAGATAAATTTTCTAATGACAGGGGTTTATAATAATAAAGGAGAATTGTATAGCGACTGTAAAGCTGTTACATAAATCGGAAATTATATATCTATCATCTTTAGATATACAGACCTCCGTGGTCAAAATGCCATGTCTTTCTCAGAACGGATTTCCGCAATGCAAAAATTCCCTGACTGTAATGCCATTCTGGTTATAATGATAATGCTTAGGTTTCCCTGGTTATAAAGCCATATCTCCAACTTTATTACATCATCATCGCACGGGTCGTACCTTGAGCTGTACGCTCTGAATGTCATCGTAGCCGACCCATTGCTTAAGACGGAGGTTGTAGGCATACGGCACCATCTGGTCCTCTAGCCATACCCGTGTCCAGTCTTGTTGAAGGTACTTGGACATCTGTAATAAGAACGTATATCAGTGGACAATCACAGACAGTGTGAGTAATTGAAACACAAGTGTGATAGGGAAATACACTTCCAGGTCTTACACTCATATGCCGAACCCATGTGCTTAACTTTCTAGGCTATTTTACATATTCATATCTACAGTTCTGTCATCTTATGTTGAAACAGCATAGGGAACCAAAGCAGTTTCCTACATATATCTTTGATTCAGTATTGATGAAAGAATGTCAGTAATTAATGTGAGTAAGGTGGTCCGAGCAGAAAGCCATATGAAAATTTCGTGAAAATTTCGCTCTCGCCAAATATAGTATGTTTGGCTTTAGTATGTTTTTCATACTCTTTCTTAAAGAAATCTGGGGTGTTTACAGAATTTCGTGCGAATTTTCGAGTTAATATTTGTAAACATTATTACATTCATGAAAATAATTTACTCTACACTTTAATAGAGTAGAAAGCTATGGGTTCAATGACTTGATGAAAATTCAGTGCACAGTAGTGAAAGTAACCGAGCTTCAATTGTCAGGCCAAATTCAGAATTCAACAAGCAAGAGAATAATCAGCCTCAAATATCTGCTGAAACAGATTCCACAGGACATGGAAGAGCAAAACATGTTAAACATCATATGAATGAATCAGTAAAAATCAGTGATGACATCAGGTGTTCACGAAATTGGTAAGCATGTCATGCTCTACCAGTAGAACCAACCACTCACAATTTTCATTCAGAATTAATTGCCAGTTTGGATCTAGATATACCACAACACCATCGCGCATCTTATCATTAAACGACGTGTCATTTAGTAATTCCTTCTGAACATAGTCCATAATGACTAAAGGCCTTTTGTAGTGAAACCTTTACTGAAAGAACATAGTTGAAGGCAAAATGTTTTTTGCTCTACTCAAGAGTCATTTCGGAGGCAGTGAGGACAGTATTCTGTTTTGTATTAACAGAGGTAAATAGTTAAACTCCGTGACATACTGTCAGTGTTAACAGTTCCGGTTGTGTTGTTATAAATGAATGCAAAATGCCAGTGAGTTAAGACAGAATGTCACACCATACATGGACTAAACTAGCTTCGCGGTGATAGCCACATGTTTCTAAGGTTATTTTGGTATTCTGTATTTGTTCCTTGACGCGAAGAAACATAAAGATTCACCTGTTGCTGCCATGAATGTTAGACAATAACATTGAAACATTTTTGCTGAATGGGATGTTCGTAAATAATGACACTCTGTGTTGGGAGAAAAGAAGAGTACACACGAACAATTACACCAACCATCACAATAACAATACAAAAATCACCATAAGAACTATTCACGAAATTTTAGTGAAATAGTCATCATGCAAAGTTCTTGACATATTAAAGGCGGACTCCGCTCTGACAAATTGGAAGTCCCAGCAAAGTTTATACAAGCCGTTCAAACATCACGTTGTGTGTTTTGTCTGGTCAAGACTTCATTGTTTACAGGCCGCCGTCCTAGAGCAGGAGTACTACTGTGCGGCGTAAGGCAACAACACATACTTTCTTATGCAAATTGTGTCAGAGGCGGGTACTAACGGTAGAGCAGGGCATGCTTACCCATTTCGCGAACACCTAGTGACATCACTGATTTTCACTGATCCATTCAAATAATTCCAACAACATTGACGTTTATCTTATATCGTATACAAAATGTTGACGATTACCATAATAACACAGAAACAATTTCTCATTTTACACATGGCTCCAGTTACCAAGACTGAAAGTGGGTTCCAGAATGAGGAGTCCCCCTTTAAACATCATCACAAACTTACCTCATAGTAAGAGACAAATCCCTTTTCTCTTGTGAAGGGTGAAGGGCGTCCTGCTCCACAGTTCTTGTCGCCAACGTTGATGTCTTTCTCCGAGCAGAGCGTGAAGGAACGGCCATAGGTGGGGATACCCATCACTAGCTTGTCTCGGGTGGCACCTAGGTCCAGCCACAACTGTACAACTTCATCCTAGGTTTAAATAAAGAATGTTTCTAAATGTTCTCCTAATACTAGTGGAGAGTGGTGATGTGCTACGGACGTTAGTTATTATTGTTCCTAATGACGCGAGGTGCATCTTTGATTCCTTTCGTAGAGTAGATGATTCAGGCCAAAGCTGTGGTACCTTAAGATAAACTGGCTACCTGTCACCTCATCGTATCAATATTGGGACAAAGGTTTGGTTTACCGTACGAAACGAAACATGGCTGACTGAAGTGTAATTCTTTAGAAACTAATTCCCATTCACTTAGTGATTTATAATTGACGTCATTTATTTCGATATCGTTTATGGAAATTTACTGCGTATTGATAATACAAGACTGCGGGATTAAAAACAGTTCTGTGACGTTATATAACATATTGCTTGCTGCTTCTTACCACACTCGTCGATTTGATCGCAGGGTCAACAGTGTTTGATTTGTAGAGGGGAGCATTGATACCCAACACCTTGCTCCAGGCTCCATTTAGATCGTAGCTCATTAGGTTTATAAAGTCAAGATATCTGCAAAATAACACACGTAATGAAACAAAACGACAATTGTCAAACTACGCTCGGCAATATTCCAGCTATATGACGGCGGTCTCTAGACAACCCAGTGATTTACATTACGGGCATAGATCCACGCAATTGGGATACGATGACATGCATCAATCAAGTCAGCGAACCTGACCACCCGATGCCGTTAGTCGCTTCTTGCGACAAGCATAATCGCCTCTTAGGCAAGCAAGGGTTGCTGAAGACCTATTCTCAACCCGGATCTTCACGGCTTGACAAACTACTGCTACTACTACTACTACTACTACTTATTTGCTATTTTACAAGAGGAAGGTCAATATTAAAAAGGGGGCTCTCCCAATAAAAAAAAAATCACGTACGTGAATGTAACTGCCTGTGGTATGGAGTCAGACTAATATTTTCAGTTGGCGCGACAAGACGAGGAGTTAGGGCGAGCAGCCAAACCATCCAAACACATTAGTTTTCAGTCCACCCGGCATATCAAGTATGCTTTTGTGTGTGTGATTATCATATCAGAATAGACGGGCAGATGATAATGTTCATTTGAAAATAGCATAATATCTGTTTCTAGATATGGATGCGGATGTCCACTGACTAGTTGATGGTTGCTTACTTGTTGATTACTGGAACCTCATAGGCTGATTTGACAATCTTTTCTCCTCCGGCAACTGCTGCCGTCACCAGTAGACGCTCCTTTCCCGCCCTCACAGCTTCCTGCTCGTACGCATCTCTCAGTTCCTGAACAAAGTGAGATCAAAGCGTGTTATGCAGTGTTCGCGGTGCTTAAGACTTAGAAGTCTAATACTGGTACTAACCCCACCTTGTAATTCCACTAACATTGACAGAATAAATCAAATTGTCTCACTGAATTCCAACTAAACTAATGCTAACAAATTCTAACATCTGTGGTATCAAATGACAAACTGACAATTGTTTTTTGTTGTATTTCTGACCTCATGGCCCATAGTACTAAATGCAATGAGACTAATAGTAATGTGCACAGCAACGTCACTTTAAATAGAACGTAAAACGCTATTTATATACATGTACAACTAGATAGGTAAATACATTCCCAGCCCTTAAATGCGTTTAACATATTGCGTAGATAATAATTGGCATTTTCTTCTCTCGTTGGATAGACATAGTATGTTTCAATAAAAAAAATTACGGGTAACTGCATAACAAATACCAACAAGAAGGAATGCTACTCATCTTCTGTGAGCCATCAGTGGTCACGTGAAAGAAATTAGTTCAAACAAAACTATATCATACTGAGCATCAAAAGCAATGAGAGAGATTTTTAGTTACTTGAACAAAAGAAATCGTGAACTAAAGAGTGCATTTTTATAGTGCTAAAAAACTAGAAAGTTAATCATGGCGAACCGGGACCCAAACTACGATCATAGGTTTCTGGCACACCTAAGGGGCGGAACTCTGCACATTGGGGCGCCTTATACGAATGAAAGCAAACAATTCTATAAGCAACATGAAACAAGGCCCCATTTTTCGGTAGTAGGAAATATAATGTGAGAAATGTAATTACCATTACGAGTAGGGAGAATTTCTTCTTGTCATCTGCAGGACTGCCTCGGTTAGCAGGGTATTCCCAGTCAAGATCAATTCCGTCAAAGTTATGGGCTCTCAGATACTGAATAGATTGTTCGATGAAGGATTTCCGTCCTTCTGGTGTCTTTACCATGTCTGTAAAAGGTCTGGAACCATGCGTCCACCCACCGACAGCCAACAAGGTCTTCAAATGTGGGTTTTTCTTCTTTAAGCCAGTGAACTGTTTGTATAAATCTGGAAAGCAATGGTGGTAATAAGGAGTGAGAAGGTTGAGTTTTACTCCTACAATATGACAGCGTGGGAATCGACCCCGGGTCTTCGGCGTGACGAGCGAACGCTTTGACCACCCGACCGACCCATGAAGGTAATAGACCGTTAATGTTCTGAGCCACTGTGCCAAATTTACATTGAAATCCATTTGATATTTTAGGATAAAATACGATAACCTAGCCACATGGCTCCATGTAATTATGCAATGGATTGATATGTTTCGAAACAAATGTAAATTACATAATTTTATTCATAGAAAAAAGAAATAGATATATTTTTGAAATTGATGATACGTATTGTATCAAAAAGCCTTTTCCATATTTAAGCAGAGGTAATTGTACGAATCCTACTATATAATGAGAATGTGTTTAGAAATCACTATTAAACACATAAAAATATTGAACTGTGAAGTTTAAGATTGTATACATTAATTCAAAACGTTCGCGCTTACGTGGATATTGTATATCGTTCCATTCATATGGAGCAAGTTGACCCTTGAAATCAATCTTGGCGAAAGCGAAAATCAGATGTGTGCAGAGAAATGGGTCGATGTTGAATGGGAAAAAGCGAGCCGGCTGTTTTCTGTATTGGGACCAGTTGGTGTAGTAGCACACCCTTTTAAACATTGGATCTGAAAAAAAACAAAGCTACAAGTCAGCCAACGGGTTGAATAATAATATTTCATAAAATGCCTTTATGACCTTTCAGTTTCATCCCTAGAGGTAGAATGCTTGTATGGTTATCCTATCTTAACCTATATGTGTATAAAAATATATGCACCAAGGACAGTCAACAATTACGTAACAAGCCCAAGTGTTGTCATTACCGATTGAAAATGTAAATATTGGTTGTCTCAAACAAAGTTCACACCCTTAAGGTGCATGACGGTCAATATTGGCATTAAACACTGTCGTCAGATGATGATAATATACCCCTTACAACACGTCCTATCGAGACTGCTATGTGAATACTCAAATATTCTATTTGAACATTTGACATCCGTTTGTATGATTATGTCGGTTTTCACATTTAATAAAGACATTTGATCTTTAAAAGAAATTATGTTGTCTGTACATTGTAAACGTTAACACATAAATAAAAGAGAGTAAATCTATTATTATGTCAAGGTAGACACAATTTTATGGATAACAACTTCTTTAATACTGTAAAGTGCGACGTTTCGGTATAGATCCTTATACCGTTGTCAAGCAAGATATTTATTATCTCAGCCAAAAGCAAAGTAGATTGTATTCTTCCAACGATATCATGTAAAGTTTAAATACAACGCCCATTTGATGTTAAACACTGTATGTCAATGTCTGAGATGATACCAATGTTTCAGAAGTGGAGCTTTGTATTCAAAAATAAACGTTGAACATGAGAAACCTCACGAAATAGCTGATCCTGTAGACATCCCATTAAATCAGAAGAATGACACCAACATACTTCATTACCAGGAGAAGTATTTCTCCAAATCAAAATCAAACATGATTTCCTTATTGTCTCCAAGTGTTTATTAACAACACAAAGGGCGTTCCCAAACTATCAAACAGAAGCGTAGTAACGCAGAATCTTATAATGGCACGTTCTGTAAGTACAAGACGAGCCACCCTCCAAAGATGAAAAATACGCTAGCCTATCAAAGGCGATAGCGAATTGTCAGCCTGCCCTGGCTGGTGGGGGCCTAACAGTATTTACTAAATGGATAAGTTCTTTACTCCAGCGGTGAAAACGGACAACCACAGTTTGTCGACAGAGCTCCTAGTCAAAACGCCATGTGTGATGTGGGTACGCAAACCCCTCCCCTAGATTTACTTCCTGTTTAAATGGCGGCCATATTTGTTTGCAGTGGCTTCTCTCGACAGGTCGAAATTAAAGATCTTTGTTAGAGACTGGTAAAAGAAGTTCAGAAAACATGTGTTTTTAAGATTTGGTGATGTTTTTTCTCTTATCTACGTTTCTTTGTGATATCCGGTATCGTCAATTCCAAACCTGACTCTTAAATCACTGTGACGAATTACAGACAAGCGATGAGTACGGTACCAGAACGTTAGGTATTACGTAATGGTCGAAATGACACTTTATCCTTTCTCCTTTATCTTATCAGATGAAAGTATCAATGTGAATAAATGCGCATTGTTCATAGTTTTTGCATTTCATCATTAAATATCAGTGTGAATGTCTATAATTTTAGTCATAATGATATAAGATAGATACTGACTAAACGTATATCGACTTTATTTGGTATATTCTAATTATCTTACGTATTTAGTAGTTTTTATTTTGATTTCTCCCATTTTTCTTTCGCAAACGTTACCCTTAATGTATAACTTCTATTTTGAGGTACTTTATAAATAATTTTTGATTTGATAATTAATTACTTTTTGTAACAAAAAGATATTTTTCATAGCCATGCCTCTGTTTCTTGTTGTTCCTGAGACACGCCGATAAATACTCTTAAAATCTGAAAAGTTTAAAATTTTCAGTGATCCATACATTTAATTTTCACCGCTTTTTTGCCTTTTACCCTCAATGGAATCTGTTTCTGTGGATAATGTAGACTTCATATTCTCTGGAGTTTTATATTTTGATGTCATATTTTAGGGAACCAGTGTGTGGGAAAACAGTAGTCACGGCTAACTCGATTCAAGTCCTTTTAACATCTTTGCTAGTCTGCTAACTCAAATTATATTATGTAGCTACAGGTAAAATATGTGGTAATGTATTACTATGTATTACTATAATTACATGGGGACAATTTATCAGGCTCCTCTAGAGACTCATTATTACGTCTAGATCAAAACTTGGATTTGGCGCCAGATCGAGAAAGAAAGAATCCCTTCATAAAGCTTAAAGGGGAAAGCGATAAATAGTTAGATCAATTATTCCAGTACTAAATGTTGGCCAATAGTCAAGCGACATACCGAAGCAAAGTCATTGTCCACTGTTTCCGAGCAGTGTTGATCATCTGAGTTATTGAAATTGGTTCAGGTGTTTGTGTTTCCTGGCTGGCCCCGGAAGGGAGAAGACAGGCAAGCACATTACTATTGACGTTTGTCTTTAGTATTGGAGCTGTCAGTCCCGGTACTTTCTCGTGACAATTCATATTCATTTCCGCGGGAACTATCGTGTGACATTTTTCTCATTTGAGCGCGATTCATGTAAATATATAACGTCAACGCCAGAGAATATCCAGTCTTGATTATCCGACAAATCAGTAAAGGCGTAAAGGGGAAAATGCGGAGAAAATTATATGAATGGATCACAGAAAATCCTTAATGACACCAGGTGTTCGTAAAGGACGTATTGTCAAAATTTTTCTTCAACCTTTTATTTCTCAGTTTAAAAAAGATTGTCACGATTTCCATTCCATAGGAACACATTTACATTTAAGAATACGCCGGTACCATATAACATGTTGAAATAGATGATGAATGTAGTCGTATGCTTACTGATTACAGCGAATGGAAATATGAAGCTTATCTTTGACGGAAAAGGTCGGTTTAATCCACACCTCAGCAATCGTCTGTAACTCAAGAGACAAAATCTCGTATTTGACAAAAAACTGCTTTTAATAATCGATTTCAAAGAATCGACTTCAAATGCAGCGGTGCAGGTATTCACCTTCTGAATCTCAGTAGCCTGACGTAAAACAGAATATGCCTTTTATCCCTGCAATATCATCTTCGTCAGACGTGATAAGGATACCTCCAATGATCTCATAAACCGAAATAAATACCCTGTTATTTTCTTGATTTATAACGTTTTCTGAAAAATGTTTACCAAATGCATGAAATGACGCAATCACGTGTCTCCACACAACACAATTTAGCGGCCTCTTGATATGAAATCGTGTTTGATATCCTCTTTATGCGAATTGGGAGCTAAATATTGGCATTACTTGAATTCACACTTGACGATATGGACAAGTCTTCGTCCTCTTTGTATTCACCTAGAATCATTTCGATCAGAGAAATTCCTCAAGAGTTTCCGAAGGCCCATATCAGTCCTTTGTACACTGCACTCGGTGTTTGGAGGGACATTTGCTATAAAAATTATCGGAAAATGTCAGTTCGAAACACTCTGAATTGTTGTTGTGTTAATCTAGCAGAAATGTCAATAGCCCGGCGGCCGATATTGAGGTATAATGTTTCAAGGATTTCGGAAGGAGGAAATAGCATTGAAGTGATAAGTGCTGGACAGTGCTAGCTTAGTTTGAATCTACACGGGGAAGCATTATTCTGACGTATGAGGAATTATTGTAATGTAAATAAACTAAAGAGGAACCAATGCATGTGGGAGCAATGTGTCAAGGATCCAAATGCCAGAGGTATGGAAACACATCATAGTTTGATGTTTTTCCGAAGTGCAAATTTGACCTTTTTCTAGATGCGGACAGAACTATTCATTTATCGATGTCAGTTGAGATGTTGACAAATATACAAAGCTCAGCAAGCAGAACGTATACTGACATTTCAAAAATGACATTGTATGTCTCATAATGTCCACTTTTTTGTCATACTGTGTTTATTTACGACAATAAGAGGAATGGGTACCATCACACATCGTGGATATAATTGAAATATCTCTGCAGTCGTCGTGTCAGAATATGGCTATTATCTTATCTATTTTAAAGTTCATATTTAACAATGATTTTGGCTGTGTTTACAGGAATGAAACGCCAAGAAAAAGGCAAGACACAATGGAAACAGGAAATTACTTTTCTCAATCAAGATGTCCAACTTGTTAACACAATTATGAAGGAACTCTAACGTTTATCATATTTATCAATGTTAATTTCTCACATTCTAGTTTAGTTATTTCGTTCTTACCACACCTAGCTCACGAGTATCACCAAACCAGGCACATTAGTAACTTGCTCATTTGCAGAAACATTTATTAAAACTATCACTTACTATGACATTAGAAGCTTAACACAGCGTACCTTTATGTCCATACAGATTCATTTAAAACATAATTTCAGCACAGTTAACAACATTATCTTTCCTCTTTTGACAAAAAAGATTATTTAAATTATTTAAAAAATTATTATTTAATCGTTAAGTTGAAGCAGTAAATATAAACGTCAAGACCATTTTCATAATCATCATAAATCTCTACATAAAGCACAATCGATTGTATGATTGCGACTGTATCATAAAACATGTGTTTATGAATCACTATCAAATAGTGATAATGCCATATGTTCGCGAAAATAAGACAACAATGTTGTTCTCATTCTACACCAAAAACACAACAGTATTCTGTTGGTTTAGCCCTCATTGTTGAAGGCAAGAGTGATAATTAAAACCAAAATTTAAGAACTGTTCAGCCCAAGTGAGGCATTATGTGAACAATCGACCCCACGGTAAATGGGTTCAGGCCGTCCGGAAACCAACCCCCCAGACCCCTGTCTTCTTTACTTCAACATCGATTTCAGGATTCTACGAATTGTCCCACAATTTCATCATCCTGGGACTTACAGTGCTATTTAGGTGAGTCAGAATGCCCTCACGGTACACACCCCCATCTTCAGCAGGTACACCGATAAACTGTTTGGCATCTGTTCATGACGATGGTAGTTATATAAATAATTTTCCGTTCATGCATATCACGAGATTTTGGAGTTAAAATAACGATATAGTATGTGGGAAATTTACAATCTTACTAGTTATTATGTTCTATTTAATTATGGGATTTCGTATATGCAATAATAATACGTCTGAATTATAAATAAAGTTTGTGATGTATTATAATACCGAATGTGTTTAAGAGTGAGTGAGTTCGGTTTAACGCCGCTTTGAACAGTATTTCAGTTATAGCATGGCGTGTCAGCTTGGTGCATATCTTACGCGTATGTTTATTTTATGATACATGAACTGTTTTGCTGCCATTTAATTTCTTTCATGTGACAAAAATACAAATATGAAGGCCCTAGAACCCTTTGAATCGATATAAGTGGGTCTTTGTCGCGTTCAAATAAAATGCGGAAAATATACGATACGTTATAGAAATTTCCTCACGCATGAAGTTGTTATAAAATATTTATATTAATATTCAATGTCCGAATAATGCAAACACAAAAAAGTATTTCACATTACGTTCGATTTTGAAACAATATTGACATTATCATATTTACGTCATGGTACAATAATATCATAAACTCTCAGAATGAATTGTTTCGTTTAAGTTAAATCAAATCCTAATATGTAGATGTTTCAGCCATAGTGGCGTTTTGGCCATGCACCAACCAATAGTTATTTTAAATAACGCACTCAGATCACCGGGTAGATAAAACGTTTTAACACTCGTTAAACTTTACAGCTCATCTGCCTACAATTCCAAGTCTTTACTTTGGCATGTTCTATGGTAGAGTACACCTAGACTGACTGTGTTAAAGAACGCATGACGTAGGTAGTCCCTCTGCGGAACACCTTGCGGCGCTTTGGGCGAGGGGTAAGACATTCCTCGAGAGATAGGTACCGAGGGGCCGAGAAGTACCCCCCGGGAAAAAACGTCAAAAAGTGTTGAAAGTTTGTTCAGTTGTTTCTTAAATCTCTTAATCAGTTAACCCGTCGTTTCTCGCAGAGGAATAGGTTCACTGAAATTCAACAGCATTGGCAACCTTTCTTCATATTTAAATGGCATTGATTTTCAAATCCCCCAGGGAATCCACACACACGCAGTGACCCACCATTGTACATGGTCGATCACTGAACATAGCTGAGGTTTTACTCAAACGGCTATTGTTTTTACTTGGATTTTTTCTGGATTTTTACAGGTTTAGTGATAATAAGAGTGTGCTGATATTTACAAATGTTCATGTCACGAAGTACGTTTAGATTTATTTCCGTGAATGTGGGTATGATCGAGTGTAGAATGGGTGTCTTCTTTAAAATGACATATTGATAGTATATTGGCGCTCCCAGCTAAATAATTTTACAAAAGAATAAAAGTTGTAAGATGATGCTATCCTAATCAGTCTGGTAAGATTTCTTATCACTCATATTTAACATTACTGGAAGGTAATACTTCTTTAACTTGCAATACCCCATTCCATTTAAGTCTTAAATACATGATATATAATTATATCTAATTCGTCGTCGACCGTTGAAATTGATAGATAGCACATACCACATAGTATTTATAAATGAAGATACAGTTCAACTTAAAATTGTGCTTAAAACTGAATCGGTTCCACGACAGTATATAGAATGTCATTTGTATCTCCAAGCAAGTCATCGTCTTTGCGAACCTGAAACCTGTCAATATGTTGTACTCGGAGTACAAGCATTGAAGCAGGATACGTCCTGAGCAACTGTGGTCGATCATTTGTACAAATTAGCAAAATGGATTGCGCCCAAAACAGCTTCTAAATATTGAAACACCGTGCTATTGTAAAAAAGTGTAATTAAAAAGTGTATTTGAAGTGTTTTTACAAAGCATGGTTTAGGTTAGCAACCAAAATAACAAACGTCCTCATTGAACCATTTCAGATACATAATCTTTATATCCACGCACTTTTGGCGTTTATTCAGGTCCACTTATTGAGAAACTGATGCGTTTACGACGGCTGAACTAAGACCTGGTTTGCCAGCGGCGTGTGCTGTGGTTTGCCGAGAGATGGACAACTGAAGTCGGCGCCTGAGTTGCGCTGACTTAATATTGACTTGGGGTTGATGTTTTGGAAAGATTTCAATAAACTTCATGAATGAATGGAAGATGCTAGGACTACAGGTGTTGTAAAAGGTGTTGTAAAGGTTGTAAAAGTACTTTACAGTTACACAATAACTTTGAATTGATACAATATCGTTACATATACAATATTTTTTTCAGAAATTGATGAGGTGGACGAATAGGTTTGACATTATTGTTCATGGGGCTTTTGTTGAATATTTTTATATGCTCACTTAGGATGTGCCTTCTTATGTTTCACGACATGGAAAGACATTGAGTGTTCTGCTAACGTATAACATAATGGATAAAGAACATGAACAATTTCCAAAGAGAAAAATTGCCCTGAAAGATAACCCTGATACTTATAATGTTCCGATGATTGTGCCGAATGAAGGTTTATGTAAATCAAATATTTACGGCACAAATTACTGCTAATTACCATATCGTATGTCACATATTAAAGATCCCACAGGGAAAATCCCAATACCATAGAATGAAATGCTTTACGTCAAATACATTTTTGTTGTACTTACCTCTTCCAATATTCCGGGGTTGAGCGGCCACATCGTTAGCTGCACGTGCACTACACGTGACTAAGAATGACGAGACTAACAAGAGCGTCAACATGACCTGCAACGTCAAAGAAACACCAAAGTATTATAATGATGTAAAATGCGTATAGATATGACTTGTCCCTTTAATAATTAAGCAGATAATTGAAATGATCATTCCAGGCATCGCTCGATGTAATGTTACATTATTCAAATTTAATACAGATGTACATGCATGCATGTGGATGCTAGAAACATAACTCAAAGATAAGAAAAGAAATAATCTTTATGCGATATATAAAATACACATATGAGTATAAAATATACACAAAATATGCATCAAACTGGCATAAGAGGTAATGCAGTTTGAAGATATTACAGATTTTTATGACAAACTGCGATGTTGAAAATTTCCGCAATAACTTTAAACTTTGTTTCTAATCACGTTGAAACTTTGGACATGTCGCACTTATGTCGAGAATTGCCTAAACGCGTATGAATACAATTTGAATATGAGGTTACCTGTATGTGTTAATAACACAAAATACAAAATGACAATAGCCAATACAGTGTATATAGAAATGGTAAGTAATAAGATAGTCAATACATACCCTCTGTTATGGAAAATCACAACGTTCCAAAAGGGCACCTAATCGTGGTGCATGAGTTGAAACTATGTTACTGATGTGGTCAGCTTAATCTCTCCGGCGAATCTGACTCGGTGTCAGGGAATCAATGTATCAAGCCTAGATGTAACACTACAGTATGGCCTCGTCGTCCAACACAACGCTCTCGACACGTCTCGGCTTGTGCCAGTTCATGTATTTGAAAGAGTCACCAAGGATCTTCCTCTTAAACGTCACAGAACTGATGCGCACTGAGCATGTCCAAGCCTCGTTATTGTTTCAGTTGCCCGTATTGTTGTCCAGCGTCTCCACCAAACTACACAAAGATACATCCGCTATTTGCCGGGCTCCGCTTAAACAGAAAAAAACAATGGCGTGTTGAACCAACACCGTCGCTGGAGACGTTTGGAGGCTGAGGGCGCGCCCCGTCAACGTTGTTTACTTTCTTCGATCTTCCAGGGATCAGCTGCGACATTTCAACAAATAAGGAGCCCCTTTGCTTTCTGTAATACAATTAGGTTTGTCTGACTTTCCCCCCGAGTCACTTCTTCAGGTGAAATGCAAGCCAGTGTCGTAAAATGCCCACAGCATGTGTTAAGCCTGGCTCTCGGGTATGCTCAGGTTCAAGCAGGACAGAATGACAAAGTGAATGTTGAAAGGGTCAAGATCTTAGAGGTTTAGAGATTCGGTATTGCAAAAATCAAATTTCACATATTATGGATTGCTCTATTGCATAACACAATGGCTATATTATTAAGGCTTAACGCCGATTCTGGAAGGATCATCGTTTGAAAATGGAAAACAAAGCAACGTTATGATGACATAATATGAGAACGCAGTTTGCCATCGGATCAAGTTATGATCGAAGGGTTAGCTTCATTTTATAGTATTTCTTCGAAGATGTAACATATGCCGGAGAAAAATACAACAAATATATTTTGTATTACCCATCACATAATAATAGCAATTTCAACAGAATGAAAGACGTTACTGCAACGAAAGAAGAGAAGATAATTGAAACACTTAAACATCCGTTTTCTCCTTATCTGGAAACAAGACTTACCACCAGAACACAGAGATATGTTTAATGTAAAAGTACAATGACACAAAGCAGTATAGATCCCAATTGTATAGCTACTTGGGATCAACGTTAACCTACAATTCATTCTACTGTGTTCAAGTTTAGGCAACCATATCATAAGTACGAGTATACTTGCCGTTATTGTGAATATGTAGTAGTTTTGAAGTTTCAAAATATATTTACAACAAAAATAATATATTTTTGATACTTCAATATCCACAGATAGACATAGAGTATTACAGTTTATCAATTGCCCATACTTTAAAGTAATTAATAAAGCAATACCCTACCCTGATTCTATGAATATCGCGACGATTCCAAAATCTAAAATAACCCGATTGCCCTTAAAATGTTTGCATGTATATCTGGATCATAGTTCTGAAAATTGTATTTACATGTGCCTGACATAATCAAGTGTGCTCTGGAACAAGAGGACTAGATAATGATGGACATCCATGTCCAATTCATTCAGGAGAGCATAAGGCGCAACAAGAACGGTATTATCGAGTGGGTGACGATTCGGTGTACATTCTTAAACCTTTTCGAGCAAATGATGTTTCCTGTAAATCCTTACACCTTCATCGAGCAAATGATGTTTTGCTGTAAATTCTTACATGTGTCCCAAGCAAATGATATTTCGTGTAAAATTTTAGACCTTTATGTACAAATGATGTGCGGGCGTTGAATTTACATCTGTACCCATTCAAAGGTGTATGGTGTACATTCTTCAAATAATATTTCTTGTAGGTTCTTATTTTATTGTCGTACAAATAAAATGTCGATGTTCATAAATTATTGAGCATAAGATGTGTAGCTGTAGATACTACCTCATTATCTGGAAACATTACCCTCTGTAATAAAACTAACACTGCGGGCAAATGTGGCTGTAGATTGTCTGTACATGGTTCTGGTCAACGGTAATAACAGATAACATACATTCACATGTGTACGTTTTTGTACAATTATTATTTTGGCATGTTTAAGAAAGTGGGCACATTTTTCTTCCGGACATGCTTACCCTTTTCGGGAACACCTGATATCATCACTGATCGTCAATAATCCATTCATATAATTTTCAATGTTATTTTGCCTTTCACGCACAATGTAATCTTTTTCATGGGGTAATCGATACTGTTTTTTCTCTGGTGTTGGTGTTTTGTATTACCAATATATATGACAAGTATTTTAGATGAATGACAATGCGTCAAATCTGGAAATGTCCTTCACATATAAATCTTCAATAAAACGTTTTGAAAACTTTTCTGAGGCTTTGGAAGTTATAACCCTGATGAAATTGTGACACCATTGCAATTAAATTATGACATGTTCAAATCATTGCTGGTTCATTTTAATCAATGGGTGTTTCGACAGTATCGTTAGAAAACAAACAGTCGCAGCAGCCATGGGCAATATGATCTATTAATATGTTATAATCATGTTAATGTCATTCCTAATGTACTCACAAAAGTTGACCATGCGTGTAACAACATAACAACTAGTTACACAGGTGGTTTATTAATGAAAACATGTTTGCACTGTAATGGACAAAATCCATTCCATATGCATGTTATTATGAATTATTATGAATCACTATCAAATAATGATGATACCAAGTGTTCGCGAAAAAGGTGAGCGTGTCCTGCCCCACCGGTGGCACCTGTCACAAACACATGCAAAGGCAAGTCAATAGTTCAATGATTCAGCTAAACATTATAATAGCGTAGTCAATAATATGTGAGAGTAAACTTTAAATATAACTGTGAAAAAACGTGTATGTTTAAAACATTTCTCACGTTTTAAAACGTAACCTTCGTAGAGATGTATTTCATTTCATTTCTTTTCGAGAATTTGAAAATAAGTGAGTGAGTGAGTGAGTTGGATTTGAATAGTATCCCAGGTACATCATAGCGTGTCAGCTTAATGTGGGAGGAAAACCCGAAGTGATGCAGGTCTCATGCGTTTACAACTTTGCTAAAACTCAGGAGTTTCTTGCGTGCCCAAGGGGAGCAACTCTGCGGAGCGAAAATGCGGGGCCTTAGACGGTGTCCCAACCCGTGCCCCCTGAAAATAAGTAACATTTCAAACATTCCCAAATTGTTGATAACGGAGTCGCATTTTGATCTAAATATTCTATCATATACAAGCATACGTGTACAGTGTATTGAATGTGCTCATATGTTACTTTACATCAGCAGTATTTCAGCCATGTTATGTCGAGTAATCAACATGTTGGATGATTATCAAATCCAACCGTTGATTTTTTTTCTGCTGACTGATGCATTGAAGGTTTGCATAAGCAAAGAAATGGTTTATTTCATTCTCATGAAAATAAATATGTTAATCATCCAAAACTACATCTTCCCATGGCCAGATAGCCTTATTTTATGTCCATCCTGCGCAACCACCTTGGCATGTATGCATTGATACATATCGTGTACATTGATTAACCTAACCCTAAGAAACATATCACGTCAAAACCACGGAAAAAACCCACGACGCTTCATTTTTCAAAGTGAACAAATATCTGTGTTTGACAGACAGTGCACGCTTTTGCATGTCTGTTTAGTTAATGATATACATAACTGCAATATCAGAAGACGCTTTGGCGTCATCAACTCAAAATCGAAAACTATGACGGTTCGTACGACCTTGGCGGAAAAGATATGTCGAAAGCAGCAGAAGAAAAAACATTCTTGTCGATATTAGAATTGACGCTTTTTCCATTTGAAGATCATAAGAAGTATTTAGATGAGTTATTAATAATGTGTATTCAAGGCACATCCGTCATAACCATATAATCAATGTTGTGTTTGCGTGACAAGAAGGGCCACATTGCTATATTGTTCCAGTGGCCTTGGGTAAAGTAGTGTATGCGACCATTGGTCAGAAGCGATGTTCATCGCGGAGACTATTTACAAACAACGTCAGTGTAAGATTTTTGCTGTTGTCTTGTTAGTGAATGTTTAACTTGAGAACATTTGCGGAGTTAGATAAAAATATTCCCAAACAGTTAGGAAAGTGTTCCTGCTTTTTAAAGCACTTTCTGTTGGTATAACGATAACATGCTATTTGAAACAATAATTTGACAGCACATAGCTCTTACGTTTTAGTTGCTTTGAATGATCTGAAACGTATGGCAAAAATAATGAAAATACGGAAAGAATTTCCAGAAATGTAGAAAGCTAGTGGTTAAGAAGATATATGCTGGCAAGTATTTAAATTTTCAGTGGAAATAACTTCACAGCACCATGTCCCGACTTGAAGGATTATTCCATATATTTGAGGTGAGGCGAGGTGAAATTGAGTTTAACGTCGCATCCAAGATTATTGCACTTATATAGCGACGTGTGTGTGTGTGTGTGTGTGTGTGTGTGTGTGTGTGTGTGTGTGTGTGTGTGTGTGTGTGTGTGTGTGTGTGTGGCTGCTTGTACTAGTCCGGACTGATGCCGATTTATAGTGCTAGTTCCCTGAGATACCATGCCGCAGTTTAGCATGATTACCCCACTCACAAACAGTATACCACTCCTCGTTTTAGCCCCTTAATGCCGAACGCCAGACATGGTAACAAGTACCATCATTTAACCTCTTTTGGTATGACGCGGCCGGGTATCGAACCCTGGACCTCTACCATTAGACTACGGAGGCGGTCCCATATTTTTTATGTTTCCTGTAAATCCTTACACCTTTATCGAGCAAACGATGTTTTGCTGACTTATATATTGAGCCCTGAAGAACTAGACTAGAGATTGAAGTTCCTTTGACAAAAGATATACTGAGGTAAATTTATTATTTAATAAAACAAACTTAGAACTCATTTATGTCATTCTCTCTCTGTATTGAGTCTTGCTTCTCACAAACAACGATTTTGATGTATGTAATATTTGAGAGAAGCATACTTCAAGTAAAAAAAACTCTAAATATGTCAAATGATTGTTTCATCTGAAAAAAACCTCACACAAATCTGAACTATTTTTAAACAATGTCCCCTTTCATCATATTCGATGGTACAAAATCCAAAGATTAAGATATCAAAATTCTCACTTTGTATCATTTTTATGAATTAAGATCCCAAAACAGGAGAGCGTGCTTCTTTTCAATTTAAA